TACTTTGGCCACCGCTGTCTTCTTTGTTGCTAGCACACTATCTAGCAATATAGGAGGAGATGGCTAAGTATTTACTGAACGGATCAATGACTGAGTATCTCCGTCACAGGCAGCATCCTCCCTGGATATGCATTATCATACGAACTACCCGGTGTGATTCAAGGGCCAGCCCACACCTTCACCCCCACCCGAGCCCAGCTATGGAATCCTCTGGAATTTCCACTAAGGGATCAGCAAATTCCTCTTTAAACCTCCGTTTCCCCTGGCTCTCTTCCAGCTCTGCTCTTGGGGGAAAGTACAGCCGTGCCCTGGATCATGGCTTTCCCCAAAGGAGAACCCCTTCCCCTACTCTCTCATGCAAATACCTGAGGGCTAGGAAGCCGGCGTCTGCCCCGTCTTACTGCCTCTCCCTCTTCGGAAGACCCTGACCCTCGGTGGCTCACCACTGTTCTCTCCATCCTAGTCACTGCCACCTGGCATCTGCTGGGTACTCCTCTCATTCTGGAAGACCTCAGCGTCCGCCACACGCTCCTCCACCTCTCCGCCCCGATTCCGTGACAGAAACGGTCAGTTCAAAATGTCTGCCACTTCACATGGGCCAAATTTACATTCTAGAACTTGGTGTCCCCCAAACCAGCACAACCTCCCAAATCTCAAATGTCAGTGTCAGCCCCCGGGGGCCTTGCCAGGATGCCATTACACAAATTCTTCACTGTCATCGTGAACCCCAATCCATCGGCTTTCTTCACGCCTGCCCATCCAGCTCTAGATTTTCCTTACGTTTGCTCTCATTCGGCTGAGAGGCCATGATTCAGTATTATAACCTCCCTCTGCAAGCACGCATGGTCCCCCTTGGCCCTCCTTTCCAATTGTACCTTCCTGGAAAAATCCACTCGTGCAGATGAGCACAACCATACGTGTTCACCATGGCTTTCCTTGGGAAGCCAAATGCTGGGGTAGGAAACCGCACCATCAGGCAGGCAGATCCGTTCCACTTAGTCATGTCTGATTTCAACTGCTAAGAGACGCTATTACCTTTCTCTGGTAAACTCCCTTTCTTATTACCTGAGATATTTATTTCACACATTCCTTTTCTCCTCAAGCTTCCTCTTTTCCAAATGGCAAATTTCAGGTGTGTTCCGGGATGCAGTGTAGGATCCACTGTGTTTTCTCTCCCCAGGTGAGATCCCTCATTCCTATGTCCCATGAGACAGTCTCCAGGCTGATGCCTCCCACATTTTTATCTCCGGCTCTGGCCTCTCCTCCGACCTCCAGACTCACGTGTACAAAGACCTTCCCCCTACCATGTGGCCTCAGACCTCAATCCCAATTTCCCCCTCCCCTACCCCCTCTTCTCCAGAGCTTTCCACCTCCTTAAAGAACACCATCATCTACATGAAAGCTCAAGCCCGACACCTGGGAGCCATTCCCCATTCCTTACTCACCCCTCGTATCTTGTCAAATCTGGCCATCCTCAAATCCTGCCATTTTTACCTCTAAAAGATGTATTCTGTCCAATGATACACCCACTTCTTTCCAGTTTTACTGCCACTATATAAATCCAAGCGACCATAGTCTCATGCGTGGACCCAGTGCAATAGCTTCCTAACTCCGATCACACTGGAAATTATTCAACATTTCCCCCACAGCTCTTAAAATAAATCCCAAACTCTTTGGCGTGTCTGTAAGGAGCTGCTTGGCTTGACCTCTAACTGCCTCTCAAGTCTTCATCTCTGACCACTCGCCCTTTAATTCTCCTTGCCTCCAGCCACCCCGGCCCTATTGCTTCCAGAACGCACCTCAGGGCCTTTGCCAAGTGTGTTCCCTCCGTCTGGAATGCTTATCACTCTGCTTTTGCGTGGGCTGAGGGCTGCTGACTCCTCCAGCCAAGGTCTTGAGTGCAACTCAGAGAGGTCTTCTCGGATGGCCCTATGCCCGAGGGCCCCTCCTTCGCTCCATCGGTCACCATGCTCCGGCCACCCCCTCTCCTGTCCTCCTCAGACTCTGGCATGATACAATTATCTGAGGGGTTACTTATTTAATGGTGGCCTCTCTCACTAGATTTCAGTCTCCCCTTGGGCAAAAATGGCTGCTTTAATTTCAGCGCACACCCAGGCACACAGAAGGCTTATTCTTTAAATGGATGAACGAGCAAGTGAATGAAGGTGCCGGACAGCCCTGACCACCAGATACCTTGTGGGCCTTCTACTGTTGTTTTGATAAGCCCTTTCTACACGAAAGCTTGCCATCTTGCTGCCTGATCCGTAACACCTGTAATAGGAGAAAACAGAATCCACACAGTGCCCCACATAGGTCCCTACGGTTGGGCTGAACCCTGCCGAGACCCTTTGGTACGTTTGAGGTCACTTGCCAAGTTCACTGTGGTAACTTTCTCTCCTTTCTCTGCTCCACAAGGAAGAACACACAGGGGGGTTGGGTCTCTCCCTCGGAGTACAGGGCTTCCCTCTGGGAGGCCTAACCCCACAGATGCTTCCTCCCTCTCTCTCTTCTCTGCACATCAGGGCCGAAAGCATCTCCCTCCAGGAGATGATGTTTGGGCTCGTCAAAATGGTACTCCTGATTCCTTTTTTCCTTCAGAGAATGGCATTTGGCCTTGGGGGCACTGTTTAGAAACTGATCACGTGAACTACAAGAGTAAAAGCCACCTGCAATATGCTTTGGAACAAACGTTGAAAACGTGGAGTTCACCGTGTTTTAAAGGACTCTAGGGGCCCATTTCTGCCAACTTGGTTTGTCTTGATCCCACTGTGAAGTCCAATCCTCTTGCTGCAGAGAAACACGTCCTTTTGCTCTCAGAACCACTATGATGTCTTAGATAGAGGTCGTGCTAGGGCCTCTTGAGCCAGTCGTCACCCACCCATTTCACACAACTTTGCAGTTAGGACACGCCACCTGAAGCCTGAGAGCCTGGCCATCTTGTCTCTGTTATGTTCACAGCGAGCTCCAAGGCACGGTCCGCATCTGATGCGGGCCTCACGGCATTTATGGAGGACGGGGAGTCAGGACTTGGGTTCAAGTATCAGCTCTGCACGTTGGCTGTAGGATCTTGACAAGTCGTTCAATATCTCGCAGGCTCCCATCCTTAAAGGCCATGGCAATACCGAGCCCTGCTGATTATTGCAAGGATTGAGGAAGTTCAAAAGAATCTCCAAAATACGACTGTACAGCAACATGAGGTGCCAGAGTAGTATTAATAACATTAAATTAGTTGGATTTCAGCTGCTTGACCAATCAAATTCTAAGGCCCACAAAGTAGTTAGAAAGGTGTCTTCATCCATTTGGGCTGCTTTGGAAAAACACCACAGACTGGGCAGCGTAAACAACAAACATTTATTTCTCACAGTTCTGGAGGGTAGGAAGGCCAAGACCCAGGTTCTAGCATGTTCGGTGTCTGGTGAGAGCCCGCTTCCTGTGTCTGCCCACGGGGATGCACGGGAGCTCTCTGGGGTCCCTTTTATGAAGGCACAGTCCCATTCACAAGGGCTCCACCCTCATGACCTAATCACCTCCCAAAGGCCCCACTTCCTAATAGCACTGCATGGGGGGTTGGGATTCAACATGTGGATTTTAGGGGGACCCAAACATCCAGTCCATAAGTAAAGAGGGAAGGGATCTAACAAATATGGCTGGCCCTGGTCCTGCCTCAAGCTGGCATATACTTAAAAGGAAAAAACATCCTACCATCTACAGGGGGGAACATAAACTGTGCTGAACACATTATTCAATGAGTGTCAACTTTTTTAAAGGGGTCATTTCTGTTCTTTAAAAAAAGGAATTGCCCCATGAAGCCAATTATATCTCAAAACTCTGTGCCAGGAAATGATTCGTGAAGAACCGAACCAATACGCTTCCTGGGACAAGATGACAGCTACTATTACAACGCTCGTCCTGTTCTCCATAGCCACCTTTAAAAAGGAAAAAAGAAATAAGGGAAGTTGATTTTAATACTAGATTTTATTTGGCCTAGCGTATCTAAAATATTAGCATTTTAACATGTCACCAGTATAAAATATTACCAAGAGATTCCATTCTTTTTCTTGTGCTAAGTCTTCAAAATTCAGAGCGCGCCTATTGGGACAAGTGCCGCTCAATCTGAACAAGCCACATTTCAAGGACTCCAGAGCCACAGTGCGGAACAGTCCAGGTGAGCAGCTTCTGAGCCTTCCCATCATCGTGCTTCGGGAAGCAACTGGGGCTGCAGGCCAGAGACTGAGCTGGAACAGAGGACCCAAGGCTCTGCAGGAACACAGGCTGGAGATACGGCAGCCTGGGCGGGTGACAGCGGAACCAGAGAGGACTAGATTTCACTGGACATGAGCGCACCCGAGAAGGGAGACAATATATGGCAGCCAATGAGGATGCCAAGCACCATCCTGACACTCCACGTGGTCTTAACTCACTCAGTCCTTACAACCAATCTGTGCAAATCCACTTTACAGGTAAGGGCACCAAGGCTCAAAAGATTGAGTGACTCAGATCGCATAGCTGGGGGAAGGGTAGGGTAGGAAGGTGCCTGGGGTTAACCCCAAGACTCCTGACATCAAATCCAATGTATTTTGCTCGGCATGGCATTAAAGGCCACCACGACCTGCAGCCCACCCACATCACACCTTCCGATCCAGGACCAGCACCTGGATGAAGGACGCTGTGTCCTTCACATTGCCCTGCTGTGACTTCTTCCTCCTGTTCTAACTCCCTCTTACCTGCATGGTGACAGTGGCTCTCAATTGGGGGTAGTTTTGTCCCCCCCATCCAAAGGATACTTGGCAATGTCTAAAGACATTTTTGATAGTCAAGACTGGAGAGAATGGGGTGCTCCTAGCATCTAGGGACCCAGGAAGTACTACACATTCGCTGTGGTCATCTTGTCCAAAGCCACCTCCCTCAGCCTGGGGAGGTGGAGTGAGCTGATCTGCATCCCAGCTCCTTAATTTCCATCCCTTATATCACGCCATACAACCCGGTTTCCGCTTTTTTAGGCCAGGAGCTCAAGTTTCATAGAGATGTCGACAGGTGGGTGGTGTGAACACCACTTCTAGCACGGAGCTCTCTCTGAGGTGACACAGGTGGAGAAGCAAAAAAGAGGAAAAGACCTGAGAAGCAATCAAAAATTTCCACTTACAATATTAACCTCTTTCAACAATGCATTGCCAAACAGATCTTGAATGCAAATTGATCTTTCCCGGGGATACACACTTTTCCTGGGGTCAGACGACAGCTCCGGGAAGGTTGATTTTTATGTTTTTGTTCTGAATGTTAAATCAGTGCTTAATCATATCCATGAGGCTACCCACTGGAGTGTTTTGGTCTTCATTCTTTTGATTTTCACTCTGGGAAGGGATGATTTAAGCAGGCATGCCTCCCATTTCCATTCTGCTTAAGCAAACACTCATAAGCATTTCTCAAGGGCGGAGACTGCTAAATGCACTCCAGTCTTCCCAACTGCTGGAGGAGGATGTGTCTAACTTGCAGTCTATTTTGCCTGTTTCAAGGCCTATGGAGATGATATGTAAATCTCTCTTGTGGCAAATGATAAGAAGGTAGCTATTTCTTTACCTTCTCTTGACTCCCCAACTTTCAAGCCGTTCCACCCAAGACATGGGGCTTGGGGCTGAGGATAAGCGAAGGATACAGCAGGGTCCCTGCCCTTGAGCAGACCTGTAAGAGTGTAGGGGACAGACAACAACACCATGAACAGGAACACAAGACAGGATCAGGGAAACATGACTCTCAGGAGAAAACATTTGGGCTGAGCCAAGGGAGGATGGCTCAATTCCAAAGGCTGGCAAGGAAAGGGATGTCTCCCCTGGCAGAGGGAGCCTCCCAGGAAAGTACAAGGGCACGCCTGGGATCAGGGGACGGCAGCCAAACACTCACTCCTTGCAGAGTCAGGTAAGGAGGGTGATGGGTGGAAGGGAATGAGCCTGGAGGGCCTTGAATGCCAAGTGAAGGAGAACTTGGACTTCATCCTACAACCCCTCAGGAGCTACTGAGCAGGAATTACAGCACCTGTGGTTAAGAAAACCAACAACTCTGCGAGCGATGTGAATTCCGGGTCAGGCGAAGAAGAAAGTACATCCCAGAGGCCAACCCGAAGGCTTCTGGGGGCAGACCCAGCTGGGGGCCATCCCAAAAGCCGTGTCCTTGTTTGGGGGACATTTCCGTTAACATAGTGCTGATCTGGTCCATATGTGGGTACAACGGACTGAATGTGTGTGATCCCCCAAAATGTGTATGTTGAAATCCTAACCCCCAGTGTGATGGTCTTAGGAGGTAGGGCCTTTGGGAAGTAACTAGGTCACAAGGGTGGAGCCCACGAATGGGATTCGTGTCCTTATTACAGGGACTCTCTCCATCGTGTGAGGATACAAGAAGTCAGCGATCTGCAACCTGAAAGAGTCTCCTCACCAAGCCCTGACCGTGCCAGCAGGCTGATCTCAGACCTTCAGCCTCCAGAACCGTGAGAAATAAATTTCTGTTGTCTATAATACACCCACCCAGCCTGTGTACTGTGTCCCAGCAGCCCTCGTGGACTAAGACAGTGACGCAGCACTATGCCCTGGGATGGGACCTCCAGCTGTGGGGCGTTAGTCACGGTTGGTCTCGGAGTGCTGGAGCAACACGATTCTCCGTTGCCAGGGACTGGTTTGGGGATGGCCTGTGATCCACTCCTGGCCATAAACTGCAATGAAAAGTCACAGTTCACCAAAGCCACAGGAGGGAGAGGGTCATGAAGAAAATTCGTCTTTCAGACGGAAACCTTATTTGCCTCAGATCACAGAGGCCACACTACATGCCTCCCGATTTCAAGATATTTGAGCTACATTGTGTGATGGCTCCCAAGTGTGACACACTGTCGACCCATTCATCGGCTGATGGACATGTGGGTTGTTTCCATCTTTGGGCAATTCTGAATTGTGCCACTATAAATGCTTGTGTACTTCTTTGAGAAAAATGGCTCTTCTTAAGGTTATCGAAATCCCTTTGTTCTATGCACATAAGGAAGTCTATTATTACGAATGATTTTAAATGTCTAGAACCTCGGACTTGGGGAGCTCAACTAGAAACAGCTATTTAGCATCTACTATGCAGCTGGGTCTATACCAGGCACTGGAGGACATTTCCATCTCATTCAACCCTCGAGGTTTTTTTTTTTTTTTTTTTTAAGATTTATTTATTTATTTTAGAGAGGGTGTGTGCACACATCCAAGTGGGAGGAGGGGCGTAGGGAGAAGAAGAGAGAGGGAATCTCAAGCAGACTCTGTGCTAAGTGCGGAGCTCCACATGGGGCTTGATCTCATGACCCTGAGATCATGACCTGAGCCAAAACCAGGAGTCGGACGCTCAACTCACTGAGCCACCCAGGTACCCCAACACTCAAGACTTCTCACATTTGTATGTCATAAGTCCACTGCAGAGATGAGAAAACCACGGCTCAGCGTGAATTAAATGCCGTACCACACATGTGACACACGTAGTATGGGGTAGAACCAGGATGAGACATGGGGGGAAAGTGCCCGGCCTGTTATCTGGCACAGAACAACTATACAAAGAATATGAATGAATATGAATGAATGAATCAATATCCAGTTAGTTCACCAAGTCCCTAGTGGCAGTTTGATAATTAAAAAACAAAAGAACTTGGAGGAGGGTAAGAAGGAAGGTACAGTCTAATATTTACTTTTTCCCCCCCTCTCATAACTCATTGTACTTTTACGGTATGAAATGCTCGGTGGGTGGCTGTATTTGTTTCCTAAGACTGCTGGAACAAAGTTCCATAAACTGGGTGGCTTAGCAGAAATGTATCATCTCACAGCTCTAGGGGCTAGAAGTTCAAGACCGTGGCATAAGCACGGTATACGCTCTCTGAAGGCACTAAGGGAGGGCCTGTCCCAGGCCCCTCTCTGAGCCTCTGGTGGTCCCTTGGCTGATGGCAGCACAAGCCCAGGCTTCACGTGGCATCTCCCTCTGTGTGTATCTGGGCCTAAATTTCCCCTTTTACAAGGACAATAGTCACACTTGATTAGGGCCCAACCTAATCCAGGATGATCTCATTCCAACTACCTACCTCTGCAATGACCCTATTTCCAAATAAGGACATATTCTGAGGTACTGGGGGTTATGACTTCGGCATAAGAATTTGGGGGGGGATGGATATAATTTAGCCAGCAACAGTTAACCTCACCATCACACAAAAGTGAAGAAAAGAAACCACCATGAAGGCAGAGAGTCAGGAAGAGGCATTGCAGTCCTATGGGGTCAGGGATACCCTGTCCCCAGAGGCCACCTGTCAGAGAGCAGCAGGACTGACTCAGGGCCACTGGAGGAAGGACAGGATGGCCTGGACCTACCGCAGGTCTCAACCTTCTCGATGATATGAAAGAAAGAGCATGAAACCAAGCCGCAGGAAACTCAGTCCTGCTCAACCAGCAACTTACACCGTGACTTGACTGGAAACTCACCTTCTCTGGGCCTCAGCATCCAATGACAAACAGTGCAGCTTCCCTAATGGATCCCTGCCCCCTAAAAGGCATCTGCTTGTCAGTTCCAAGTCCATCAGGAGCTATAAACCCCTCCTCTGCAAGGGTGCAGAACTCTTCACAGCATCCAAAAACCTCTTACTGTCCTAGCTCCAGGTAAGAACCTCCAGCTACTGGTGCTGCCACCTTTAAAGTTAGAGATAAAATCTCAGGCATCTGGGCTCCTATAAAAAAAATCAAATTATTCCGATGTCTTTCACTCACACAACACGTCAGACAGATGCAGCACATAAAGTGAGTTCATTAGTTGTGGGGCTGCCAGGAGAACCTAATCATGGTGAGAACACACAAAGCTGTCCCCCTCTTAGAAGTCAGGCTAAATGCTTTCCATTTTTATCACCCAATTCATAACCATGCTGTCTGGCTTTAAGAATCAATAGCCTGGTGGTTTTGGTATCCACTAAATTCTTCTTAGTTTGGACGTTTTTCCATTTCCCATGCCACTTGAAAAGAGCAGAATAAGGTAAATTGCTCCTCTCGTGGCATTTGTTTTTCCAAATCTATAATTTCCTACTGACATGTTCCACACACCAGGGAAGGCAAAGAGGGAAAGGAAGCAGCCCACAGAGGGCTCATCCTAAGATCAAGGAAGCATCAAACTGGGATCACGTGGGACAACCAATTTAACAAGTTTCACGTCAGCAAGTGTCAACTGGTCTACCAACACCAACTGGTGAGCCCACCATTCACCTAGCAAAGAACTGCTCTCTAACACCTAGTGCCAAATCCTGGGCTAATTTACACGCATGATCTCATCATTCCTCACAAGACAGCTGCCTGCAAAAATGCCGCTGTCTGATACACACATGCACAACACATATAACATATTTACGTATTTTTACAGTGACGTAGCACACTGAGACTAAAAAAGGAAAGCAATACCAGTTCAGTGGGTAACAGAAAGCAGCCAGAAACTTGAAGAACAAGCACATAATGAAAGCTGATCAACATAAACATGCATAGACGCAAAAATCACTGAGGTTAAGCTAAATGAGAAGTTGGGAGAGGGAGTGGTTCTCAAGTTCATGACCAGTCATCGAAATGTGGAAACTGGGGTTCAAAGACATGCCCAAACGTTACCCGGAAAGAAGAGGACAGAGTGAGGTCTGGAACCTGGGTCCTCGCCTTCTTGTCCCACTGCTTTTACCTTCTTTGTCATGTTCAAATCAACACATGTTTTAGGAAATGCTTTGAAGCACCTACTTAATATGGAAAGCTTCATGACTTAGAAGCATTCAAGACGGGGGCGGGGCGTGGTGAGAGAGAGAGAGAGAGAAAGACCCTTCAAGAATTTCTCAGCCCGGATCCAGAGAAACACAAAGTGTCTCCCTGGGGCTCACGGGAGAGGGGTCAAGGGAGACTGCTAATGAGTATGCAGTTTCCTTGGGGGCTAATGAAAGGGTCCCGGCGGGCGCCCGGGCGGCTCAGGCGTTGAGCGTCTGCCTTCGGCTCGGGTCGTGGTCCCGGGGTCCT